CGCCGAGCTCCCGGCACGTCCCGCTCGCCGGGCACAGGTGCTCAGCGGTCCCCTCCGAACCGGGGACACCATTTGCGTTCCCGGGCGTGCATCCCCCCGACATCTCTTTCTTACACACACGGCAACATATGACCGAACGTTTTATTTACAGCAGTGACGTTCTCGTGGCTGAGGAAAATTTACACTGACTTAAAGAATATTTTTAGAAGGGAACAAAAAAGCCCTAACTAACAGTCATTTTACATATTAACTGGAAACCCGGCTAATCAAATAGAACTGGCTGAGAGTCTGCAACTCTATCCCAGGGAAATATGTGGCTGTGAATATAATTAACCATCTGTCTACTGAGCAATTGAAATTTGGGCTGGTACATTTTTATGACACGGTCTAATTTCCGGGAGACTCGTACATTTCCCCGGCAGTAGCAACAGAAACATACTTGCTCAGTGGGTCACAGATCTCCTTGTGTGGCGGTGGGATTCCCCTGCACCGCCCCCCCACCCCACCCCGTCTTGTCTAGGGCTCGCACTCCGTGACCCGGGAGGTCAAAATGAAGCTCCTGCTTTTGCAAGTGCCATATTTACAACACAGGGTCTCGAACCAATCATGGCAGCCGGTGATTAGACATTCTGTTCCTTGGAAATACCTTCCAAAATTTTACCTCCCACAGAACCTAGATAGATTGCATTCATTTGACTAGAAAAAACATATACTTTTTTTGGGTGCGCATTTGTTCAGATAGAGTAGGGTGATTCAACAGATTTAAGACTTGAAATCTGACTCCGTTTACTTCCTCTTATTCTCCTACCTAGCTGTCCCCTAAGCTGTGCCAGCCTCCCTTCCACGTCCCAGAGACACACGCTCATGCACACACACAACCGTACCCTTTCGTCCTTCCGGCCAGATTTTTACGTTACCCCTCACATCTCTGATTTTAACACTATGTCGAGAAACTGCTCTTACTTTGTGAACCAAAAGTGCGAGGTACCATAACGTGAAAGGGCATTGTACGTATTGCAGTTTTTTTTCTGCGCGATGTGCTTTTCAACCAGAAATTTATCGCTAGGAGCAAAAAAAGAATAGATTTTGGCTGGAGATTAAATGACCCTGGGAAGATTAGATTTCAGAGACCTCTACCAAATAGCTGTTGTTAACATAGCATTACAGAACAGAACGTAATTAAACTGAACCGTGGATTGATTGTGCACTAGGCTAGACAAAGTCATTTAAAGGAAAATACTTTTAAAACAAATATTTGGCCACAGAACAGCTCTGATAAATGGGTAACGATTATTGTAAACACATGGTAAATTTGACATGTGTCAAATCTGTTAAATAAATCAACCCGTTCAATGAATAATTCTTCAACGCATCAGTGCTTTTAAAAACACGCACGCACAGACACACAGGCCCACATGCACACCCGCACGCGCGCACACACACGCACACACAGACCCCGCTACAGCACCCTGTGGCCACAGTACAGCTGCAGAGCGCTGCCGCTGTCACCGGTTTCCTGAGTTTGTCTCTGTCGTTTTCCCCCTGCGATCTTCTAATTCCCTGGAACTACCCAGCGGGCGGAGGGAACTAGGGATGTGCCGCTGTGGCCTGTGTCTAGGACAGACGAGAAGAGCAAAAAGTGCTGCATTCAAAACACTCGAAGATGTGCTCATGGGTTCCTGACACACGCACGGTGCAGGTCCTGGTCTCGTGCAAGTATTTGCTTGGGGGAGAGATTCGCCTTCCCAAACCCACGGTGCTCGCACTTCCTTCTTTCCTGAGTCCGTGTCTAGCGAATGCCTTTTTCCCCTCCAAATCCCTTGGTCAGGGGATGAGAGGAGATTTCAGCTGCCCCTTGGTCCTGTTACATGGCCTGTGACCTGATCTGTCCAGTGGCGCTTGTGCGGTGTCGGTGTGCGTGCTTTTGCAGGAAGCAGGAGTGGAGGGCCAGAGTGCACGATGGGAACGGGGAGCGACATGCTAAGGAGAGGTCATCTAGTGGCCCTGCTTTACCCGCCTTTGGTTGGGTGGGGAAAGCAGGTTTGGACATTTTCAAGTTTTTCTTGATTTTTCCCCTTGCATCTCCTCTGAAGAGTTGGCCGCCGGCTCCCTAACGGACGGTGTCTCCACAGAAAGCACCTTTTCAAACCCAGAGTCATAGGGTTAGACACAAAGAGTCTGTCGGGCCGTCCGCGCCAGTTCTCCAGGTCTGCTTGGAAACAAAACAAAGGGCGCTGGACAAGACCGCATCACGTGGGCACCTTTTCCTTCAGATCTTTCCTCTCCCACAGAAAATGTTGTTTGAGGCAGAGGTGAACATTCCTCTTTTCTCAAAACAACACTGGCCTTGTGCAACAGTAAGCACGTGATAACCTTGGGGAAATCTGCTCTAGGGTGGGATCGGCCAGGAGAGTGGAGAGGGGGCGGTTTGCCTTTTAGCGATGTTCAGGGGTGAGGACCCTCCGTGTCTCTCTTGCCATTGGCCCCTAATTGCCCACGGTGATTTGCAGGCCTCTGCGGGGGAATGTGCTCCTTTGGGTCTCTTTTTCTGTAGGTAAGCACAATGACCCGATGTCTTTCCCTCCCTTGTTCTCTGCTAGAGAGAGGCCTGAAGTCTTCAGGACCATGTAATATGCACATAATTTTTTATCTTCTTAAAAGGCACTTCAGTAGGTCATCTTATCCAGCCATAGTAAGATGATTTTGATGTAAACAAGGATCTCCTATGTTCTCCAAGCCCTTCCAAAGCCCATTTAAAAAGTTCTACCTCTCTCCCTCAGGAGCCCATTTCCAGTATCACAGCGCTACCTTAACCGCGAAGCCGCTCCTAATGTTTAATTTCACGGGTGGAGAAATTAGGGACCACCAAGATGACATCTTGGGCCCCAGCCATTCTCTGTCTAGAACACGCACAGATTCCCATTTTGATTGGGGGAACTTACAGCATTTCCTATATGGAGAACCATAGTATAAGTGTTGTGGTTT